TTTTTTATTATTTTTATATATTTTTAATTAACAATTCCTTATACATCATTTTTTATAAAAAAATGCTAAAAAAAATTCCTTATAAAATATAAGGAAATGTGATATAGAATTTTAAAAAACATATACAAAACTTATTTATAATAATGAAAAAACGTATGCAAATTTTTTATAGGAATAGCTGGGACAACAAATTTCTGAAACATCAAAAATGTACATCACTGGTCTCACCTATATGAGGCTGATACTTATTATTGACTACATAAATATTTTCATCACGATAAACCTAGAAGAAGGTTAGTATTGAGATATTTGTGAAGGCATCTATAACTAAAACATGCTTTACAAATCTTAAGACATCACGCATTGCGTTTTCAGATTTCTGTGCATTTGTATCGCTAGACATTTAGCGCATAATGGCATTAGCTTCATTGAGAATAGCTACAAATGAATAGGCTGTGAATTTGATACAAAAGAGGCTCTCAACCTGTACAGAACCCTGAAAACTCATATATGAGGTTTCAGGTAAACTCAAGAGTAATTTTTATATAGAAAATTTGCAAAACTTATAGGATAATCAGGGATAAATTTTATAGTGTAAATAAAAAATGTCGAATTTTTTTAAGGGTAAATTTTTTTAATACCACAAGAATATATATAGGTAAAATTATTTTAACGCATGATCATGTTTTTTCTATAGTTGAGTAAATTACATATACAGATTTACCTTATATATATATTATATATATATTAAGAATTCGTACTTTTTTAAAAAAAAATCAATTTTGTATCTTAAAAGATGAATGCTGAATTATCAAAAAAAAAGCTTCTAAAACAACTGTTCAAAGCACAATAAACTTCTTTATACTGTTTAAAAAAAGTGAAAACTCTAAAATTTTGACTATATATTCAAATTATAATAATAAAAAAACATAAAAAGCAACTGTACAGCAAACTCTTTTAGACTTTTTATCAACTAATATTAAAGATACTATTACAAATAAAAGAAAATTTGAAAATATTATTAGTAGTGACTCAGAAAATAATGATGATGAAGATACAGAAAGTGATGATAATTAAAGTAACAGTTTTAAATCAGAATATGAATTGCATAATAATTTAGTTATTTTTCCTCCTAATATTTGTGAAGAAGAAAAGAAATTACGCTGAAATAAATTCTTTTTAAGACTATTAACATTAAAACAAGTCAGATGTCAATATGGAAAGATAATAAAATTAGATTGAGCATATAGAGCAAAAAATTTGATCACCCATGCAACACATAATAAATGCCAATGAAAAACAAAAAAACAAATTAGTGTATTAAAATATTTTTCAGGATCATCTAATAAAAATTCTCAAAATAAAGCTAAAGTAAAAGCTTGAATTGGTTTAACTCATGAAAAAATTAGACAATATGTGCTTAAAACTCCAGCTGAATTTAGTGATTCAAAAAGTGATTTTATAATAGTAAAGCAATTATTTCCAGCTAAATTTCCAAAAAACTCCAAATTTTCTTACTCTAAGTTAACTTCAGATGAATGTCAATTATTAAAAACCACTTTGCAAATGAATGCTAAATAAATTATAAAAAAGGAGACATTATCTATTAGAAGTACTAAATGTGAGTCATTTACTATTAATATATCTCAAATTTGTAATAATTGTAATAAATTAAATATAAATAAAAAAATTACTAACTGCACTGAATGTGGTATGTAATATTTAATTTTTGTTTTTTTATATTATATTAAATTAATATTAATAAATTAATATTTTATAAAACAAGCAACTTTTGAAACCACTAAATTTATTCCTAAACATTGGTTAAATAACAATACTTTGGTTAAACTATTATAAAATTTAGGCTTCCAAGATTTATTTGGATCTGTAAAAAATAAAGAATCAGATATGTAGATTCAATTAGCAGAATATGGAAGAAGTGAGAAGTTTAGTAATAATAAAACTTTTTGTGATTTAGCTTAATTAATATTACAAATAAAGGATATCGAAGAGAAAGAAAAAAGTAAAAGAGGTTTAAGATATTTGAAGCATTTACATCATTTTTTTAGTTTATTATCAGATAGCAGTAAAGAATATCAAATTTTTAAAAATTTATTTGCTGAAATGGATTTATGATCAATTAGGTATTATTTTATTACTATAATATAAAAAACTTGCAAAAATTTATTAAATTTACATTTTTATTTTATTAGATATTTGCGAACTAGGAATGAAGATAAATTAACAAATCCAAATTTGGTTTATAAAAATGTTGTTAGATTTTCTAGGGCTATGAATGCTTTAAGTTAGGATAGTCCAGTAATAGCAATGACTGATTGTACAAAAGTTCAGTTTAAATTAACATATTCTCAAGAACTAGATTGCATTGTTGGATCTACAATGCCTTTTGAAGAATTACATGTTCAAACATATAGTGATATACATGAGATAATTAAAAATATTTGGGAAAAAAATAAAATTGTCTTACAAATTCGTTGCATTTTATTAAAAGTAAAAAATTATTTATATAAATAAATTTTTTATTTTTTATTTTATTTACTAATTAATCCTTTTTAGATTCCAATTACACAAATTCCTCTTATCATAATTACTTTATTATCTATTAAAGAAAATGATACTGCAAATAAAATATACGATCTGTTATACAAATTAATTAATATAACAATACAGGCTAATTTGAAGTTAATTAGTATTGCATCTGATGGAACAGTTAATGAATTTAATGCACAAATAGAATTAATGAAAGGAAATCAAGCAACTGATTTTTTGTAGTATAAAGATGAATTTTACAATATTAATTTTTCAGCACTAATTTATAGTAATAGACTAATAATCTAGGTTCAAGACCCAAAACATGCAAAAAAGAATGGTAGAAACAATGTACATAGTGGAGCACAATTATTAGTACTTGGTAAAGATACTGTTCAATATGATCAAATACTAACTATTGCAAAAGATAAAAACTCTGCTTTGTTTATAAAAGATGTTATTAATATGAATAAACAAGATAATAGTGTGGCTTATAGGTTTTTTAGCTTAGCAGTTTTAACTCAATGTCAAAAGAATGGAATTATTAATTCTGATAAATTAGGTTTATTTGTTTATCTATTTGTTATTGATAAGTTTTTAATATTAAAATTATTTTTATCTATTATAATTATATTAATATTTCTTAATTTATTAGGTGAATTATTTGATGCATACTTAAATCGTTTTATTTCTTATAAAATACGTATTATTATGGTAATAAGAGCTTAATTTTTTTTAATAATGTGAAAAGAATACTTAGATAAATATAGCAATCTTCATTCTGGAAAATGGTATTCTTTTTCAAAAAGTTGTATTTCTATACAAAGTTGGAAAATTTTTATTAGTTTGGCTGAATCAATAGTTTTATTAATAATTGCATATTGAGATTTTTATTTGAATTTTCCATTTTTCTATAAGAACATGAAACTGAAGCTATTGAACATATATTTAGACTAGCGAGGCAATTTGTGTCAGATTTCACTTATTATGAATTTTACAAAATAATAAATAGAGTAATGTATAGAGATAAACTTTTATGGTTTGAAAATTTGACTAATAATCAAGAAAAAACATCTGCATAAGGTATACTGTATATAAAATCAAGTTGTATTATGTTATATTATTTTATGATTTAATAAAAATTTATCATTTATTTATTAGGATATATTTATGATATTGATGGGTCTGTTTTGCTTGCAAATAAAATTGAATTATTAAGATAATGGCCAAGTGATAATGATATTGGTGATGCTATTAGAATAGCATATTCAAATGCAATTTCATTTATGAATTTTCTCAAAATTAAGCAACAAATCCAAAAAATTTCTGATCCTACTCTTGATATTACATTACATTCATATTATTCTAATGAGAATGTTAAAAATAATGATTCAGATATACCTAAAAAACAAACTTACAATTTTGAGAATGCTGCTTCAGAGATTTTAAGACTATCTAAATTGGATAAAACTTTAAATGAAATTCTAGATGAAGAGCATGAAAATGATATTGGAGAAGATAATGAAGAAAGTAAAATAAATGAGAATGATAATGAACATAAAAATTTAAATCTAGTAGAATTTGCCAAATTTACAAAAATTCAATATATTTTAGAAAATAACAGATCAATAAATAGAATACCAGATCATGAACCGGAAGAATCAATTTTTAGAAATGATGGTACTATTGATGTTTAACAAATATTGTCAATTCAAAAATCACATGAAGCATATTCAAAGTCAGATAATGTTCGTGGAATTAATCAAAAACTGAAAATTAATCTAGAAAATAATTCTAATGATCAAATTGATAGTAATATCACAAATCATTTAATAACACATTTAAATAGTAATAATTCTAGTAATCAAATAATTCGTAATAGGAACAAATGGTGGCTAGGAAGAAAAAGAATAGAAGATATTTCCAATTTAGCAAACCAATCTGGATTAAAAGGTAAAAGTAAAAAATTTTATAATTTAAGACAAATTTATTTAAATTATCATTCACAAATATATTTTTAAATTTATTTAGATATTGGTTGTGCCAATATTTCACAAAATAATCCTTTAGAAGTAGATGAATTCTTAATTATTTTTTCCAATCAAAAATTATGCTTAAGAAAAATATTAGCAATGTATAAAAGTATCAGTGAAAAACATTCATTTATTTCACGTAGTGTAGATAATATTGACTTATTATCATATATTTCAGTTACATTATTTATCGATATTTATGGTAGGTCATTTTTTACAAATGATTGTCTTGCTAGTGGAAAATTATTCACACACATAACCCTTAAAGAAGTAGTTTATCATCTTAAAAAGAGTTCTATTACATTTCATAATAATTCTATGCTTACATTAGATAGCAATTCATTACAAATTTATAACTTTTTAAATAATTCCAATACTCAAGCACAATTTACTTCTATTTTTCATAATCAAAATCACACTAGTTTAGATAATGAATAATGTGTTTTATTGTTAAATGTGAATAAATAGGTCCAATGCTTATGCAAGGGTAAATTTTATAATGATTTAAATTATCTCTATACTATATCAAGGTAAAACTGATAGGAAAAACCTTGGGTAAAATATATAGTAAAATTTCTGAAATTTTCCTAGAACATCATATATAAGTTTTCAGAATTCTACCTATACTATAATAATATCCCACTCATTTATAGATAAGTCTTTTTGCATATTTTAGTAGTTGCAAATTCGGAAGCCAAATGCTTTTAACTCATTAAGTTTGGATTTTAATTTATTGCTAAGAGACTTTTAGTAAGAGATCTATATATAGCATGGTAAAGAAGAAATATCATATACTTTATCTTTCAATGCCATAATAATCTCTCTTAATGCAGTGGTTTTCCATATTTCTGGAGAAGAACAAATAAGTGTTGTTATTTTCTCAATATCTAAGAAATTAGAATATACTTCTAGAACATCCTTTAATTTTTCTACATTAATCATCATTTCTGATAATTCTACAAGATGATGTGGAGCATCACCTATTCTTTCGACTATTCCTCTCTTAGGTTTTGCAGAAATTTTGGTTACTTTTCCAAATGCTAATCTCTTATGATCTGGTTTATATTAATTTTACTAATAGCATTTAAGTACAAAATGGTTATTACTTCAAAAAAAACCATATAATTAATCTTTTTCATATTTGATATTGCCAGTGAGACATGAAGTGCCAATGTTGTATCATTCTTACAATCCTGTCTATGACCATTTTGATTGCCAAGGATGAGGCACAAAGTGTTGAATTAGTTCAGGCTATATTGCTTTTATACTTTTTTTCTTATATTTTTCTGAAACTTTCTGCCTTTTTAATCACTTTTCTGCCTATCGACGATAGTATTTCAAGTTATAATTTCTTATTTTCTTTCCTATATATTATTCTAACTTGAGATACTACCAATTTTATATCTTATTTTTCACTCCTGCCTTTCTAGGACCCTTTTCCGTATAGTTACTATTCTGGTATACTTTAGGATACTACCACATTGACTACTTTAGAGTACTATCATATCAATCACTTTAGAATACTACTACATCAATCACTTTGGGATACTACCATATCAATCACTTTGG